AAATGTGTGTCCACCCCAAGAAGAGAACTCTCTTAAGTAGGAATGGAAATTAGCAAAATAGGGCCAGTAATTAAAATGGGGGTTTGTGAAAGACCTAAAATATTTAGCCATGTGCTGGACACTTTTCACATATTAATCTTGCTGAATTCTTTCCATCACCATATGCAGGGCTATGACTGTGCTCCTCAACATTACAAGTGAGGCAACTGAGTTACAGAAACATAAATTATGGTTGAGGTTGAACAATAAGAAATCCTGTGCCAGGATCTGAATGCAGGGACAGTCTCACTGCAACCAATCTGCTCTGCTCTGCTGCACTTATATAGTTCCCTGTTTTACTAATTCCCCTTTTGTTTATGTGAATCACAAAGTATCAGAGATTTTAGCTACACATGTTACATTTTCACTGTCTAGTGTCACCTTGGGTGTTTTCACACAGCTTGACTACCTGGGACAGGTGCTATGACAACCAGGATAACTGATGTAGCTGTCAGCATGCTGGGCTTAGAGCAACTAGGAAGTTTTTGTAAACCACCATAGTGCAAGCCTGCTATGTGATAACCATCAGTAACAATTTATTTGACTGAAGGGAACTGTAGCAGACCAGCCAAGCATACATTCCTTGGGGAGGGACATGAGAGAAAAGAGTTATTTTCCAACAAATCAAGGGATTCGATTTACACATTTTTCTCTTGGCAAATAACATCTTTGGACATAGATATTGCATTATACATCAAATACCAGAAAGCTAAACTCAATTTCTTTATAAAGGATACAACATATCAACTTACACTTTTCTCCAGAAAAGCAAAACACATAACTGATTTCCTTACAAACAAAGCAAAATGGCGAAGGCAGTATTGTAAAAAATATCAATTCAAGTGTTTTTATATGTTAGATGGTTGTGATTTTCCTTAATCATCTTGCTTTGTTTTACACACATATATTGGAGCACATCATCATAAAATATTGAGAAAACTCAAGTGGTGTGCAGAGATAAACTGAACAGTAACGGTCTCTTTCTTTTACCTTATGTGTCTACATGTTGCTTCACCCACTGACCACCACACCAAGATGATTCTGGCTGAAATCAGCATTTTTTTTTCAGGTTGTATTTTTTTCCCCCTTACATCATTGTTCATTTTTGCAGAATGTTTGACTTCTCCCCTCAGGTATAGCCTCACACCACCATATTACTAGTGCACCATCACTATGGTCCCTTGTGCTCCTCCCACCCCTGTTTTGACCTCTCTCCCTCCCCTGCTGTAACTCTTGGATCTATAAAACAAAATAGTTTTGTCTTTTTTCCTGACCCTTTCTTCAGTTTCCCCACATTCCTCCTATAAGTGAAACCATCCAATAATTTTCTTTTTCCTTCTGACTTATTTCACAAAGAATAATCCCGTCCAGCCCCATCCATGTTACTGTAAATGGCATGAGTTTATCTTTTTTGCTCATTAAGTAGTATTCCATTGCATATATATCTCCCACATTTTCTTGATCTGTTCATCTGTTTTTGGGCAATTAGGTTGTTTCCATGTCTTAGCTATTATAGTGCTGCCGTAAACATAGGAGTGTAGGTATCCTTCTGAATTAATGTTTCTGTGTCTTTTGGGTAGATTCCTAAGAACAGAATTGCTGGGTCATACGGAAGCACCATTTTTAGTAATTTGAGGAACCTCCACACAGCTTTCCATACTGGTTGGACCAGTTTATATTCCCACCAGCAGTATAAGAGGGTTCCTTTTTTAAACTCCACATCCTCACCAATATTTGTGGTTGCCAGTCATCTTGAATTGGGCCTTTCTTGCTGGAGTGAGGTGGTATCTCATTCTGGTTTTGACTTGCATTTCCTTGATTATAAGGGATGTTAAATTTTTTCATATGCCTGTTGGCTATTTGCATTTCCTTTTTTGGATTAGTGTCTTTATAGCTCTTCTGCCCATTTTTTTGACTGGGCTGTTTGCTTTGTTTTTGTTGAATCATGTGAGCTTTTTGTATATCTTTGTGATCAGTCCCTTATCAGTTGTGTGGAGTGCAAATAATTTCTCCCAATCAGTAGGATGCCTCTTCATTTTGGTTATTGTCTCTTTTAGTTTGATGTAGTCCCAGATGTTTATCTTTTCCTTCGTTTTCTTTGCTTCTAGAAGCAACAAAGTCCAAAAGTCCTCAACAAAGACGTTTCTGAGGCGTATGTTATGGGGTTTTGCCTATGTTTTCTTCTATGTATTTTAAGGTTTCAGGTCTTACATTCAAGTCTTTTACCCATTTTGAGCTGGTTTTTATGTATAGTGTGAGGTAATAGTGTAGTTTCATTCTTTTGCATGTAGCAGTCCATTTTTCCCAGCACCATATTGAAGAAACTATCCTTGTTCCATTGCACTGAAATAAGCATTTTTAAAAGAAAGCCTAGAATGTTCCTCCAGCAGGGACTTTTACATGACATGGAATTTTCCTTCAATAGAGAAGATTATAAGTATCTTCCAAGTCCAGACAGCGCAAGTCTGGAACTATTCTAACTCACAAAACTTTCAAATGCATTTAAGAGTGCAGCTAGGAGCTCATGAGCACTAGAGTCCTCAAGAGGAGGCTTCAAAACCAGCTGTGCAGTCTCCAATTATAAACAGGCTGCTCAGCTCACTATGGGCCAACTGGCAAGAGAAACTGGTCACAGGTTCCCAGACACAGAAGAAAATGCCAAGCCCAGTTGTCCTGGGAAACACTCATCCAGGGTTCATAGAACCAGCCTGTGGTGGGAAAAAGGCCTGGTCATCTTGGTGGACTAGTCATCTATGAATTTCATCTACTGAAATTCACATTCAAGAAGTGTGTTTTCAAAAGCTGATTCTAGCTGGCCTGTGGCTGGGGAAATCTGGAGCTGAGCCCTGCCAACAGACTGGTCTTTATCAAACTGGCAAATGACTGCTTTCTGGGATGCCAGGAAAAGAAAGTGCTTTGCAGAAATACACAGGCAAAATGACCCACCTTCAAAACTTTACTAGGAATTACTACAGCAGAATGGCTGTGCTGTGGACTTGGGGGACACCGCTAGGCTTTTAACACTTTTTTGCTTTTTCAAATCAGGTCTTTTTGATGCTTGGTGATCTGAGTTCAGAATTATCTTTCACAAGTGATTCGATTGCTTTCTACCTCCACTTGTGGCGCAGAGCCTAAGTTCAATTAAAAGTGTAACTATGAGAGGGACAGCTAGTAAATGGGGAAAATGAAAATAAGGACCAAAATAGCAGACTTTGGCCATTTCTCAATTTTATTGTTTGAAGGAGTGTCTCTTCCAGAGCACTGCCTAATTTGGAAGTAGTGCTACAAAAATCAAGCAGTGATCTGCACAAGTGCTTCAGAAGCAGAATAATATGAAAAGAAATGAAGGAGATGAGGTCAGAGGGCCTGAGCTTTAAATGCTAACAGTTCCAGAAACAGTTACTGACAACGCAGTTTGCCGGACAGGATGGAAATCATGTTATGGTTTTGCTATCACCAATCTGAACTCAGTTAATAATAAGGCCCTGTCTGTGCACAGTAATGTTATTTGGTATTAAGCCTTAGTTAAACCAATATAAACTTCCACCGCAAACTGGAGAGTCTGCATTGTGAATATTAAAAACCAGTTTTCTTAGTCATACACAACATGGGGGAAATGATCTTATTTTAAAAGACCTTCCGAGGCATGGCCCGTGTCCCTGTCCATGGTGACACCAGGTTTTGGGCATTTAAGGCCCAAATCTTCCAATGTTCCTTCAGGGCTGCTATATTTTGGCATTCTTTTCAAAGGCCAGATATAAATTTGATCATGACTGTCCATCAAACATGCTGGGGTTTGATAAGATTTCAAAGAGTGCAAAATAAAGCCACAGGCTACTTTAAGACGCCATGTTTGTCAGGGAATAGGACACGAGAGGCTACAGCCCACAGAGTGGTGTGCCATCTAGTTTGGTGACCTTTATATCACACAAGGGCACGTGGTCATAGCTGCACAGTGTGGGTCTGAGATAACTTCCACACTGGGGAGAAACACTACAGCAGCATATTTAAAACAAGCAGAGTACTAAGTGGTCCAGCAAAATCTTTCCATTCACAGAGACAATAAACCTAAAACTTCTTTTTCCCAGATTAAACTAAAATTGAAACTATAGGGGGCTTCCCCAGTGGTGCAGCAGGTTGAGCACAGCAGCCGGCCAGGGAGATTCCCATGTGGCGCAGCAGACCTCTCCTATAGCACCTGCTGCTCCCCTCAGCAGTGCTTTCAGTCTGTCTGCCTGTTCTGCTCCACTCTCTGTCTCTGGTGAGTCCTCTTCACCCTCCCACGCCTCTGGCCTGTACCCTAGCTATTGTATAAATAAAAAATTAATCTTTAAAAAATAAATAAAATGAAAACAATAAATATATGTTTATGTGGACATTCTTTGTCCTTGGCACAAGTATAAATTAAATTAGCACACTTCTTTGGAAAACATGATGGCCATATTAATAAAAAATATTAAAAGTGGGTATAGCTTCTGACCAACTCTTAAAGAGGAAAGCAACAGCCACATTTATCAAGGAACTTAGAAATGTGCCTACTTTTACAAGTAGCATCGCCATGTCTAGAAGTCTGACTTAAGAAAATAGCCAGAGAAAAGTTTAAACAAATATGTTGATATGAATATTATTGATATTTATGGGGAGAAAACATTCTAAATGCACAATAGAAGTGTAATCATTAAATAAATTAGACTACCTCTAAGCAATGAGCTATCACATAGTAGACACGGTAAGGGGAAGATAGTAAAAATAGTAAGTGAAATCAGGGGCCAAAATATCAATTCAAAATTTTTAGAGAAATGATTTCTATATGAAATAAAGCACTGAAAGTTAGCATATCGAGATTTTAATAATAGCTATATCTGGGTACTGAAGAATTTTTAAAACTTTTTCAAATGTACTACTAGGAGCAGGTAATATTTCTCAAATGGAGCAAAGAATTCCAGAATCCCCACACCTACCTGATGATGGCTTTGACTGCAAACCTGACCACTGTGGAGAGCAGGAAGAGTGGCGTGACCAGGATGTGGAAGAGGGACAGGGAAGCAAAGGCCTCTGCTGGCTTTAGATGGTTCCCACTGGCATACGCATGGGTCACAAACGTCTGTGTAAACAAGAGACTGCTTGAGACAAAGTTGGGGAAAGTGTCACAAATGCCCCCCCTCAACCTTACATACCTAACACAGCATGCAGTGCCAGCAGGTTCACTGCAACTATGAAAACAACGACTTCATCCAAAATCCTCCCCAAGTAAAACAATTCTCGCTATTGGTATTTAATGGTTTACATGTCATCCTAGCAGGAAACTGGCAGAATGGGCCAGAACAGATTCTATCTACAGATAAGGAAGCTGATCCGTCAAATGATGGAGTAGGAGGTGTAACTGTGAGGGGAACTCGGAGTTCGTAACCACCAGTCGCGTTCTGTCCAACCAACACGGAATGTTCTAAGGGAAAAACGGACCGCCCCACTGTTTCTGGGTTCCTAATGTGAGTCTTTACCCAAACTGCCAATATTGGTGGCCAATGCAGACTATCTTACATTTCTAAATATAGTACTAGTTCTGGGAGGTGGTGGGTGGGTTTTAATCAGTTTTATATTACCATAGAAATTTCAAATTGCTACATGGTCTTGCCTGCTGGACAACTCTGCTTGTGGTCAGACACCCACATGGTCCACAAAGTCGGCTGAAACAGACTAGACTCCTCTCTCCAATCTTCTCATCCTTATAAAAATCTTTGGCTTTTTAGTCTATTGATACATATTTTCAGCTAAGCTGTGCCTGACGTTACACATAATATCCACTTTGTTGGTCATTTTCTTGACTAGAGAGGAATGTTTGTGTATCTGCAACTTCTTTCTCATATAATTCTCACATGAATTTTCCCCTAAAATATTTTTTCTTGCTGAAAGTTACAGATTAATATGTGAAATTATATTTATATATATGTGTGTATATGTCTGCATAACTATATTTCCTTAACTGCATTTTTACATAAATATAGCTAAAATCATTCTTTTGCATTCACTTCATTATATGGAATTTTTAATGTTTTTATGGAGGTAACATTAATTTACCACACTGTTTATGATTTAGAGGTGTAGGTTCGCACCTCTTAAATGTATGTCACCACACCACACCCTCCACCAAAGCCCATTGTCTTACCATCTTAGCCCTGCCCCATTCTGCAGTAAGTATGTATTGGAATCAGGTTATGGAGGTTAGACCCAGTTGGTTCTCAACTGCTATTAATTTGTTCCTCAGTGCACAGGGAGTCAATAGCAGAGGGTGTTTGGGATTGTTGTGACTATGGGGTTGCTGATCTAGGAGCTAGAAGTCAGAAAGGTGGCTGAACAACCTAATGCAAAGAACAAGTCCTTACAACAAAGAATTATCTGGGGCACCGTTTCCACAGTGCCACATCTGAAAACCCCAGAGGAGCAGCACAGCAGTGGAGAACACAAAGAGAAAGCTGGCATAAGAGAGGACCTATACATTACCACCCACACATTCTTCTTCATAAATCACTTCTACATACTGACTTAGTTCCACTTCTAAAAGTAAGAAAAAATGTCTTACAGCAAGAACAGCTGCTATGGGAATTGCTGCATTCATGAAAACTGTGGAAAGAAATTAAATACATTAGTTTCATTGAACTGTGAAACATTTCCAGTAACTTTAATTAATCATCTATTATTACTTTCCTTTTCTTGAAGACAGGAAGGACCAGTACATTAGATAACACTTTGTCGGGAGGCCACAAACAGTTCCCCAGTAGGTATTTGCTCCATCACAGTAGTATGATTTCCCACACATTAGTCTTAACCAGAAGATCTTTTTCTTTTTTTTTTTTTAACTGAAATGTTACAAACAGTCAAAATTCAGATAATTCTTTGGTGATGCACATTATTAGAATTTAATAAGTCTTCATTCAATAGTATTAACTGTCTACATTTTGTTTGGTTCACTCAACTAACTCAAATACATGAAAATTAGGTTACTACCAATTTTATTACCAGATTCAAAACAAGCATTTGACATCACTCAATTTCTCTTTCTAGCAGTGATACTAATTTTCACCTATAGAGCACCTTTCGCTTCATAAAATAACTTTATATCCTGAACCTTCTGTTTCTTTAACTACCTCTCCAGGAATTTATTGCTGTCATTTGATGATAGTAGCATGTGTAACTGAAACAAGAAAAACTCACGCTTTAGGCTCAGATACTAGTATTTGCAAGTCTCAGAAGGATAAAAGCCAGGTTGATGACATGAGTACAAAAATTTAACAAAATATTAACACAGCAAATTGTCAGTAACAGAGCAAGGCAATGGCAAAACACGAGCTGAAATCAAGTTCTCACCACTCAGGAGTGAGTCCATGCAGAAATGCCATCATTTCTTACAATCCACGATTTGCCTGCTCTCGCCACTGTCCACAGAATCAGCTTGTGCTTCTGTAGGTCCAGGTGTGGCTGTTATCAAACCTGGATTTCTGTGAGGTACTGGGAACCCCAACATTGATCTGAGCTTCTTAATAGCAGAGGAGAAGCCATGCTTGCCTCCTTTCTTTAGCTCTTGTCACTATTTTCTAAGTGTATTTTTAAATCTTCCCTTTGTCAACAAGTAGAACTCATTTTATATTCTTCATCTTTAAATAAGCAATCACTTCTTGATAACTGTTATTTTAATTAAAAATACAAACAAACAGGGACCTCCCTGGTGGTGCAAGGGGTTAAGACACAGCACTCTGAAGCTATCCACAGCCACTGCAGCACATGTTTGATCCCAAGCCAGGGAGCTACCCACATGGTGCAGCAGACCTCTCCTGTCTCACCCACTGCTCCCCTCAGCAGTGTATTTCTGTAGATCTGCCAATTCTGCTCCCCACTCTGCCTCTGGTGAATCCTCTCACCCCCCCCACCTCTGGCTTGCACCCCACTTGTATGCATCAATAATTAAATCTTTTAAAAAATTAAAAAATAAAACACACAAAGTTGGCCCTTGAACATCATGGGAGCTGGGGTGCAACCCCTGCATAATTAAAAATACAGGTACAATTTTTGACCCCCCAAAATTGTAACTGCAATTGTCCCTTGGTATCTAGGGGAAACTGGTTTCAGAACCTCCCAGACACCAAAATCCCTGATACTCAAGTTCCGTATAGTCCATCCTCCACATGCATGGGTTCCACGGATTTCGCAAACAGCCATCATATGCAGAATATGCTGATAGGAAGGACCAACTGTGTTCACTCAGCTAGTTCTCCACTCTGCTAGCACTTGTGCTGCTGGTTTTCTTTTCAGTATTTTCAGATACTATTGACTGAGGACATTTTGTATTTTCAAGTAATTTCCTGAACACTTTACAGACATTCTTATTTAACCACCCAGGGTGCTATTAATACATCCCATTCATATATGATGAGGAAACTGAGACTGCCACTGACCCGGGCTGAAGAGCTAACAAGTTGCTGAAGATTTCATTTCAGGTCAGCTTGCCCTCTAAGACCCCATACGACCGGTATGCTGCAGTAGACTTTGTTCGTTTTTGTCTTCTCATGGAGTTCGACAAATACTACTCATAAAATGTTTTCCCAGTCACTAAGAAGTGTCGTATTCCTTGCCTCATTTGATTCTGACAGTCTATCTGTGGTATAGATATGATCATTATTACAGCAATTTTTAGATGAGAAAACTGAGCGCGGGAGGTTATTGTGTCACTGGCTTTATACATGACAACGGGTATGAAGCATTTGATAGAATGCCTGGAGCAGAGTCAATCATCATTTGTATTCATTATCTATTTTAGTCTTTTCTATAACCCAACATGATAGATATTATTATGAGCTCATGTTACAGATGACGAAACAGGAGTTTTGCAGGATAGAAGCAACTTGACCTACCTAAGCTATGCTATTATGAAGTGACAGAGTGGGAGTTAGAGCCAGTTCTATTCTCAAATTTCAAACTTTTAAGCCCTGAAGCCCCAAGAACATTGTACTGAACTAAATCATAAGACCTGAAAGGGTGGGAGTCTAATTGGAACTTAACATCATGGAATTGACAATGGCTACTGTCAGAATACATGACTCTGCATTTTTACCTTCCTGGCCTGTGGTTCTTCTCCTCTAGTAAGGACTCCTCTATTCTCTTTCCTTTTGTATTTGACTTCCTAATCCAACCCAAACCTCCTGTCTGGAGACTGACAAACTGGGTTAACAGCCCAGTTTGCCATTCAGTAGCTACATGATCTGGGGGTAGTTCAAGTTTAAGTTTTCCACCTCAATCTTTTAATTTCTAAAATAAAGTTAGTGGGCCTCCTCTCATGGTGCAGGCGGTTGAACACAGCGCTGTGAAGTTGTGTGCAGCCTCTGCAGCACGAGTTCAATCCCGGCTGGCAGGCAAGGGTCCCACATGGCATGGCAGACCTCTCCTGTCTTGCCTACTGATCCCCTTAGCAGTGTATTTCAGTCAGTCTGCCTGTTCTGCTCCCCGCTCTGTCTCTGGTGAATGCTCTCACCCTCCTGCGAATCTGGCCTGTACCCCGGCCTTGTATGCATGAATAAATAAATCTTTAAAAATTTTTTTTCTTAAAAAAAAATAGAGTAAGACTCTAAATCATTGGCCAGTTGTGAGGATTAAATGAGCTAACACATGAAAAGTCACTTCTGATAATAATTGACTATCTCCACTTCATCACTGTAATCATCATCATCATCATCATTTCTGGATGATCCATCCTCACTAGGAGAATTTCAGTCCACTGAAGTGGGGACTGTAATGTAAAGTACCAGCTTTGAAGACTACTGCATGAGCCAGTGGATATCAATTATTCCATATTCCAGCATTTTGACATCATATTAGCAGCTTGAAGACAAATGTCCTTTCTATCTCACTTCCAATGCATCAGCATTAGGGATAGAATCAATGCACGATATAAGCCAAATATTTTTCCACATCTATTTCATATGAGACGTGTTTATAATCACTAAGAATTAAAGTAGTTTAGAATTCAAGAGGCAACAATACATGAAACTGTAAGTTCTTGAAAGTCTTGGGAAGAACAGAGATGAGCAAAACTGACACACAAATTAAATCAAATATTAGTGGGAGTAGTTTGACTAAGTTCATAAAACTTGTACTAACATAAACTCATTATCCTTGAAAGTACTTCATCAATCACTCTTTGAGAAAAAACCACTTTGCATTTTTTAACAATTGCTTTCTACACATTACAGTGAGGATAACAGTGCTCTGTATTTAAAAGTTCTTGAAAATAAATTGGGAATTTTTTTGTTGAGTGTCATTTGGCTTCTTTCATCTGGAAATGCCGACAGTATTTTTCCTCCTACAACTAGGAAAAAAAGGGCATTTCAACCATGCTGGAGAAAACACAATGTCATATATTCCAGAAGAGAAAGGTAAGACAAGAGGTCATTCGCCAGGCTCTTCGGAGAACATCAAGAGTAATACAGTCAAGCTCATTTAAACAAGTCAAAGTTTTCTGAAAAACAACTATTCATCCAAATATTACCTGGGAAAAGGGTTTCAATTACAAGTCTGACAACCATCACTGAGACCATTTTACAGATTAAAAAAAAAATTAAAAAAACAAACCCCAAAGACTTCAGATGTTAAGTGGCCTGGGAAGGACACACAACTTGTAAGGCATGGAATTCTGGTCTACTTGATGCTATTGTGCTAACCCTGTTCTTTAAACTTGAACAACCTCATGTGGCTGGTGGCTACTGGACAGCCCCCATGTAGAACTGTAAATCGGTTTCCTTTGACAACAAGAATGTTTCATTGTTCAGCATCTAAAGTGAAAGACCACATGTGTTTTGGGGTCTCTAGAGCCATGGGCACTTACTGGAGAGTGATGTGTAGAGAGCAAAGGTTTTGAGACTGGACAGTTCTTTCATTCTTGTTTCTTCCACACTTTTGCAGAAAATGTGCTCCCAGGCATACAACTTGAGTAGTTTGATGCCTTTCAATATTTCATTTGTCTTCTTCAGCCTCTCAGTAGAATAATCCTTAAAAAAAATAAAAAAGTAGAGGAATGAAAAACAATGCATTCTTCATCCAAGTGACTCAGAGGGCAGGACCAGGGGCAGCACCAAGACTGAGGAGCTTCCGACTTCTGCCTGGCTCTGCCTCTAACTTTGGCTGGGAGAGTCCAGGGACAAGTTGTTAAACTCTGTGCTTCATGCTCTACCTTTAAAAAGATAGGTTGATGAGTTGGCATCAAAGTTCTATGCGCCTAAACTTTTATGTCTCTGTTGCTTTCATTTAAATAAAAGATTCCTATTATATCTTTGAATACTGTCTGCAGATCATATATATAATACTTACATTATTAATGTATTCTATGTAATATAAATTATATACTATATATTAAATATATATACATTCAGGAAAATGATGAACATACTTCCAAGGCTCCCTCTCATAACTATATCACTTTATTCTCCCCTCAGCATCATCTTTCATAGAAGGGAAACAATGAATTTAAGAAAAATGAGTTTGCATTATATTTGGGAATGGGAGGCTGCAGTTGGTGTGTTTACAGTGCACCTTCATAAAATACAATTATTGAAACCAAGCCTATCCTCTTTAATTCCCAGATATTTCGACATACTTCCGCCTAACCTCTTCTTCAAGGCTTAATTTAGATGCACAGAAGACTAGTCAGTTGGATTGACTGCAGAGAGATTTGCAGAAGATACAACATATCAGCTAGTCAACTGCTTCAGCTTCTTCCACCACCAAAAATTTCATTAGAATTACTAAGAAGGTACCACAAGACCTGTGAATTAGCAAAAGGAGAGGTAGAGTAGTCAAAAGGCAGATAGGAGGAAACAAGAGCAGCCAGTATCCTGGTTTTCATTCACATTTTTATCTCTTTGGGGTTGTAGATGCCTGTTGAATGAGTGCTAAGTGGATGCATCAATATAGCCTGAGCAGCTCAATGAAAGACAGATGTCTGGGGAGAGCCAGTTCTGACTGTGCCCTCTTCCATACCTTTCAGTATGCGTGTCCTGGAGCAAGGGAGTAGATGGCTCAGGCAGGAAGAATGAGTAAGTGCACCCAGAGCAGCAGAAAAACAAGTGATAAAAACCACTTGCGTGACATGCAACTTGCTTGTCACAGCAGGAACACCAGCTTGGGAAACAATTCCATCAGTGGCGAAGTCCCTACATTTTACGCCTGATTTATAGTCTTGCTCATCTTTAATCAAACTTTATTTCTAAACATGCTGTCAACAATTGTATTATTTGCAAATATTTCTTTAAAAGCAGCCAATTTTTGCTCAAATAAAATGATTTCATGGTAAATTGAAGCCAGCGAGTGTCAATAATTGGGCTTTTTCTGCCTTGCCAAGTTGACCATGAATATATGCACCCAGAAAGCTACCACTGAGAGTTGCAGGATACATGGGTAGGAATGGAGGCTGGTTCAGCTGCTATGGGAAACAGCATGGAGGTTTTTCAAAATAGTAAATATTGATCTGTCATAAAATTTAACAATTCCCCTTCTAGGTATAAACCCGAGGAACGCAAATACACTAATTCAAAGGGATATGTGCACTCCTGTGTTCACTGCAGCACTATTTACAATAGCCAATCTGTGGAAACAACCTTAGTGCCAAAGACAGATGAGTAGATTAAGGACAGCATCATGAAGCGACACTACTCAGCTACAATAACAGGTGAATTCTTGCCATCTGTGAAGACATGGCTGGAACTGGAAGGGAAAATGTAAGTGAAATAAGTCAGAAGGAAAAAAGAAAAATAGCAGGTGGTTTTACTTATATGTGGAATACAGAGAAACAAAACAAAGGGTCAGACAAAACCAAACTAATAACCCTAGAAATTGGACTATAAAATTGAGGCTTCCATGGTGGGGGAGGAAGGTGGAGAGGGCAAAGTGGGGAAGGAGCACAATAGACTATGGTGAAGGACTACAGGCACCCTGGTGGTGGGTGTGGTGTGATCCCAGCACCTGAAGGGAGTGAGCCTGTACCTCTCGATCACACACAGTGCTCTAAACCAATGTCACCTAAATTAAAAAAAAAACAACAAAAACAATCAATTCCATTGATCCCCATGTATTCTGACTCAACCCTAGGCAACTTTAATTTCAGAAATGCCAGACCTGAACCCTCACTCCCTCCTTGCTCTGTTTTCCCCATGTCAAGAACTGATAGCCAACGGCCTCCAAATACACCTCAGTATATTCTTGAAGCAAGCAAGTTAGCAGATCCAAAGTCTCATCACCCCATTATCCTTATGAACATCAGGAATGGTGATTCTGCTATTTTGATTCTAAGATAGAGTCTTAACTTTCAAATCCATTTTCAGATATTGTTCCTGTAACACAGAAAACACATTCGCAGCCTAAGAAGCAAAATGAAACCTAATGATGTCCAAATCACCCTGAGTGGGATGCACAGATTTTCTATGTATTCAAAAATAAAACAGCATCACGAGGTTTTCCTAATCAAGTTTCCAGAAGAAGTGACTTACAAGAGTGCTCTTTTGAGCCTCCGCCAGTTTTGTAGCAATGAAGTACTGAATTGGGGCCAGCAGCACGATGACAGCAGCCCCGACCAATGCACTGGATCCAAGTAAATTATAGAGCAGAATCACTCCCATGATGATCTAAGAAGGAGAAAACAGGGGATGAGAAAATGAATGGGGGTGCAGAGGGAGAACCCTGCATGAAAGGAGTTACTTTTTCATGAAAATGGAGCATTTCTTCATGATTACATTGCTTATTTGCATGTCGACATAACTATGACAGTTGAGTTTTACTGTGATTTATTTGGGGAAAGCAAAGTAGTAGATTATTTTTAGCATGATGATCTGTGCAAGCACAGATTTGCTGTCAAACCCATTTGCTGCATGAAGTCACGAGTGGTCCTTAGATGCCTGTGAACTTCTAAAGCAGTCTTCATGTTTTTAAAAGGACATGACCTTTTTGCTTTAAAATGTCACCCACCACATCACCAACCCACCCACTGGATAGTGCATGTGCTCTTGGACTAATACTAGCTTTTCAGGGCAGTGGGGATGGGAAGGAGGGGACAGCATCATAATGTGAGGACAGAATAGCTACTGTCCTTGGTTCCTCAATGGCCCTACACGTCACCTAACAACACGAAGGCTAGCCCTCATTTAGACTGAAGAAGCTGAGGTCAGCCACTCAGCTTACTGTCATTGCCTCTGTACATTCACTTTCTCACAACTGAACCACTTGGTTTGACCACTTGGCAGAACAGTTGTCTTGACATAAGCAGCATAATTCCAAACCCCACCTTCATAACCTATGTCATAGTATTTTGCATCTCAGCTTCCTTGTCTACAAAGAGGCATAACAATATTATTAGTCCAGTCACAAAGTTTACCTCTTACTAAATAAAGTATCTTATACCCTTATGTTTTATTTCCTCTGTATATGGGAATCTTAACATATATTGACCTACCTGAACTGGCATAGCCCACAGATTGGGGCACAGGAATAAGAACCACATGAGTTGATTGGTTTCTATGGCAACCAAGTTATTGATCTGTCCCAGGGTCATCTCACCCATGGATAAATTAGATGTTGAGAGTCTAAGGATTTTATTGTATATCATGGCCTGCAGAAAAAAAGATATACTGGAAGCTCTAAATTTTATATTTAGCACCATGCCTATTTATTTTCATAGAAAACACATTACTTTTTTTTGGAAAAAGGAGGAAAAAACCTTTCATGTCATCTTAAGTCAACCAGTATTTTCATTTTAGCATAGGTATTTTTAGTCCCTAACTACATACAAACTTTTTTCTGGTACTACAATCAAAACATACATTCAATTTTAAATATAAGCTCTAGAATAAGCAGAAAAAGCAAATGAATGCAAGATTTCAAAATATTTTTCTTAATGTTTTATAAGTAATTTTTAATGCAATCAATTGAATTGATTCAATTGATTTATTAATAACATCTTTTTTTTAAAAAAAAGATTTATTTATTTATACAAGCATTGGGTACAGTCAGAAGCGTGGGACGGTGAGAGAATTCACCAGAGCCAGAGCGGAGAGCAGAACAGGCAGACTGATGAAGTACACTGCTGAGGGGAGCAGCGGGCATGGCAGGGGAGGTCTGCGCACCATGTGACCCTTGCTGGCGGCTGGGGATCGAACCGGTGCTGCAGAAGCTGCAGGCAGCTTTGCAGCCCAGCACTCAACCGCTGTGCCACCAGGGGAGGCCCAATAACATCTTTCTTAAGTAGGTCCTAGAAGGGCCGATGTTGTACCATCAAAGAGGAAATGAAAAAACCAAATGGAACCCATTGCCCTTCCTACCACCATATACATATAGTAGTTAACATTTTCAAAAAGCAAAATTATTCAAAACTTGTACATACCAGCAGGGCTCCCCGGAGGTTAATGCCAGTCTCGATGGTCACATAGTAGGATGCCTGCAAAAATGTCCTTTGCAGAATAAGGGCCAAGAAGAGAAGAACAGCTAAGACATAAGCATTTTCAAGAAATTCCTTTGAGGAAAGGGTTTGTGCAGTCTTGTCCCCAAAAAAGAAAAAAAAAAGACAAATTAAAAGTCTGATCAAACATGAGGTGTGCAGCTCACATTGATTAAACAGTACATGATTTTTAAATACAGCAGTGGAATGAACCAAAGCAAGGTCACTGGCTTCCTCACAACATGTACAGATAGAGGCCAATATAAATCAGTTCAATGCGTAAAATTGATCCCAAATTGATCATTAAGCTAGCTGGAAATGCCTAATTGTAGGGGAAAAGGTACAATTTTTAAAAACTTGACATTTTCTACAAATTAGTCTAAATTAGCTTAGTCTAATTTAGAAGTATAAACTAAAAAACTATTTGGTCAGCAAGACCAATGTGACAAAAATACAACTTCTGTGGCATTATTCATTTAAAATAATTTTACACAGTTGATGTTGTGGGTTTTCATATCTTTTCATTTAAATTATAAAATACATAATTTGGCTTTTTATTACACTTACTTGATATTTTTAGTGATAAAAGATAAGTTATAAAAAGCTGTTTTAGTGGGAAAATGACTTAAGTCCTGCGTCTATTCACCACTGATGGCTTTTTGTGTGGTTTGACAACATCCAGTAACTTGTTAGTGAGGGAAAATAATACTTGAATAAGGACATCATGTCACATTGGGCACTCTGCTTATTTTATAGCTAAAGTCCATTAGATTCTACTTCTAGTTCTCTTTCTTCGTGGAGACACATATGAATGCACACATTTTGAGTAAATAGCGGAGACAAGACAGCACAATAGTATTCTTGGAGAAAATATCTGGTTCCCTTTAGTAACAACGGAGCACTGACAGAGGGATCTGGGCTATGCACTGAGGGCACCAATATAAGCTGTCCAGTCTCTCTTTTCAAGTGCTCACAACATGGAAAGATAAGCACAGCCAAGGATAATGTGCTTCATTATAAATAGCACATATGCTCAGTGCCAGTATGCAGGAAACTGTTAGGGGAGGGTCAAATTCCAGGAGCACTACCAGAAAAAGATTTACTCAGGAGGCAGCATTGACTGCAGGCTTTGAAATGCTGAAAATTTTAGTAGGTGAAGAACAGCAGTCAGGAAGTCATATTGAAAGAACAGAAAAAAGAAAACTGAATTTCAGGCTGTTGTTTGCAAGCACGGGTTCACAATTAATACACATTGTGTTGATTGGTTATCCGCTGACAATATAGTGAGGATATATTTACATATTTGAAGTTTATTTCGAATAAACAAAAAGGCAAATTGAAAAAACAAAAAAGGAAACCGATGTATCTGAATTAGAGTTTCTATCTGTGAAACCAGAGAAATCAATTAGGAAAATCAATTCATATTTCAAAGACATGAGGAATTTCATGATGCAGATTTTCTTTAGAGCAGATAATGGAAGATATATTTGTAACAACAAATATATAGTAACTAAATAATATCTTACACATGAGGCTCCCACATAGTTACATAGCATCTAGTAAAAATATGTCTGATTTTCCCCATCACTGTGAAAGTGATGGTTTTTATTAGACAAGAAAAAAAGTACATATTACAAATTACACTGCTGACATTAGCACTCACAGACCCCTAAAAAAGTGATTCACCTCTCCCCTGCTCCCCAAGCACTCATGCATGAGAATACTTCAAGGATTGCAATGAAGATCAAATAAATGATCAGTGTGAACTGTCTGAGCATAGTTTCTGGCACACTGTAGGTGCATATTAAATGTTTATAGGCTCTGAATCTGAGAAATAATTTTGTTGGCCAGATCTATTAAATGAATACATAAACATATGACTTCTTCTACATGGAAAACTCTTTAAGCATTCAAGTCTCTGTAAATAACCTTGTTCAAACTGTTCATAAAACTGCATTAATAAAAAGTAACAATTACAATGAACAGCACCAACAATATGTTTCCCTTCTAAAGTAATGCAAACTTACTCCTACTGTGTTAGTCCCATTCTTCGTCATGTTCACCCCCTTCATTTCGTTCACACGCTGAACTATTCCAGAAATACAAAGAGGTCCAGCAAAGCCCAGTAAGTCAGCAAGATAGCGGAATGTGCTACTCAGCAAAATTGGTCGCCCAAAAGCTCTGTACATGGCTAGCCACATACATGGAGTCGGATTTGGATGATCTGCTACTTTTTTCTGAAAGACAAAAAAACCACATGAACTGAAATATGTAGAGCAGCAATCAGTCTCAACAACTATAGAAATTCCTAACTATAGTTTGGTAGTTCCAAAATTGATAAATAAATGTCAATGATAAATAAATGTCCATTTCAGTCCTTGCAGCCTACATCAACAGTAGTTACTGAATGCATTTTAATGAAGTAGAGAGAATAAAGAGTAACCTGGCTAGTTTTTCATTGACTTTGTATTATTTTTAGTTCTCAAAGAATGATCCCAAATTCTTGTTATGCTGTTTTATTTTTAACTTCAATTTCTTAAGGCAGAACTAATTTTAATTCCCTTTGATTTGGAAAATGTGTATCTGTCATGAATGTTATTAAAGAACACTTTAATAGAAAAGTGTTCTACTATGGATAGAAAAGAAGATATCAAAATAAAAAGTTCAAGATTATGGACAGACAGTTCAAGATTTCTGGAGTTACTAGATCACAAGAGATATAAGCCAAATCAAACATCAAGTTGTTTCTCCTCCAGCTATTTCCCATCTCTGTGAATGACAGTCAATATTTTTAAAAGTATGTTAGTTGTGTTTCCTAGTTCTTGCTCAGAAAAATGCAAAATGAAGAGTGGCACACAATCTTACACCAGCTCATAGCTTCACACATCTACGGCTATGTTTTGAAGATGTTTAAGAGCTCAACCATCATCATAATTAAGTCTTGAGGAGGAGGTGGATTAAGTTTTTCCATTTTGGCCAAGAAGCCATCTCAATGAAATAGAGTTCAATTATGTTTCATATTCAATTCCCTGTAAACTGAATAACTTTTTAAGTTTATTGATAAAATACATGAACCTACCAAGTTCAAGCTAATGTGTGCTGTAAAAAGCACTAGGAAAACTGAAGCTATGCTTAGGCTAGATTGTTCCTCTTTATTGTGGCAGAGAAGTTTTTAAAATATGAGGCAGGGGTCTCCCTGGTGGCGCAGGGGTTAAAGTCTTACAGATAACAAGTTATCGCCAGGACCTGGAGCCTGAGTTCCATCCCCAGCCAGGGAGCTGACCCATATGGCGCAGCAGACCTTTCCTGTCTTGCCCGCTGCTCCCCTCAGCAGTGTAATTCAGTAGATCCACCTGTTCTGTTCCCCACTGTCTCTGGTGAATCCTCTCACCCTCCTGCACCTCTGGCCTACACCCCATTTCTTATATCCAAGAATAAGTAAAAATAAATCATAAAATAAAATAAAATAAAATAAAATAAAATAAAATAAAATAAAATAAAATAAAAATGGGGCAATACTTTTCCCAGAGGTGAAACTGGAGAGATGACTCAGGTTCATTTGTAGTAACCATTTCCTGCAATATTCATTTCATAATACTTTTTGACACAAGGCAGAGGTCATTTTCATCATTTACTGTAAGTGCTTTGTTGGTTTTGATTTAAAATGCCAAAAACCCTTCAATTGACTCTATAGCTCATCCTTCCTTCCCTTCCAATGCAATAGTGAATGGTGTATCTTTCATTACAATAGATTGTAGATTGCTGCAATTTGAAATACACCTATTACTGTGGATAGTATGCATGAATATTCAGAGTAACAAGACAAATTGAAAATTTCCAAAAATTTATACTTAATATTTAAAGCAATTATAATTACTCAAGGGAAGTTCCAGAAGCAAACAATTGTGGCAGGCAGGTATGATGACACAAGGAGTATAAGATGATATATCATGTAGGACAATGCTCCTTTATTTAACTTAGTTTCCAAGGTTTGAAATACAAATACAGAGTCCAAACTTTGGTTAATAATTTAAGGACTTTTTTCAGGGGATTAATAAGATTCTAGAACCCATTCACAGTCTTGGGTGGGGTGCGGAGGTGTCTATGGACTCTGGCTTAATAATCTGTACTTTATTTAAGCAGAAAACATACTGCTAAAATTCAACTCATTTCTGTGTGTGCTGCTCATATTTAACAATTCTTTTCATTATTGTATGATAAAAATCACAAAACACATTATACAAATGCCAACTTAAAAAAAACTAATTCTCAATTGGATTCTTAGAGAAAGCAAGCTGTAATCCATTTAACACATAAGGATGAGTTTGTCAAAGAAAATATTGAAATAAAATATTAAAAATTAAAATAAGGATTTTAATTTCTTAAAGGTGGCTAATTAACAGGTATGATGTTTTCCCTTTTTTTTGTTTTCCCTTTAAATAACATTATTGATAAGGTACTTGAAAAAAGACAAAAAAGCTCTACAAATTATTGTTATTTGGTTATAAAGATTAGACATACCTGATCACTGAAGTTGATTAAGATTTATTTATTTACGCATACAAGAACTGGGGTACAGGCCAGAGGTGTGGGGGGTGAGAGGATTCACCAGAGACAGTGGGGAACAGAACAGGCAGACTGACTGAAATACACTGCAGAGGGAGAGGCAGGAGAGGTCTGCTGCACCATGTGGGTAGCTCCCTGGCTGGGAATGGAACTCATTCTGCCATGGCTGCAGATGGCTTCATAGGTTGCATCTTAACCCCTTGAGCCACCAGGGAGGCCCTGAACTTGATTCTTACTTTCCACTTGGTCCCAGAGAAAAGACACTGCTCATATATTGACTGGGCAACTAACCCCATAACACTGTATTTTCTTGGCTATTCTGCTATATCATTAACAGATCCCCAAACTTGGAAACTACTTAGAAAGGCAGAAGAGAAAATCTGCCTTCCTTAACCATTGATATTATGTCAACTTAGTGCCTTTATATTCAATAAGCCATTCTTTACATTTATGAAAATGAAAAAAAATTCTAAATTACCTTTTGTTCTTCATATGCATCTTTCAGGCAAACGTAGTTTGTTACCGCCCTCATTGCTATTGGTAATTTTCCAATTGCCTTCAAATCGATGGGCTTTTTATGAGCAGATATGATAAGTGTGTTCATCCACCAGTATGTTGCTTTTGACAATAAATTCACAAATGGTTGAAGAAATCGCACACCCAAATCCTGGAGATCTTCTGGAGGCTTCACTTTCTGAGGATTCATGAAGAATACATATCTCTGTGGCAAGAAAAATCCCACAGAATAACAAGTAACCTAATTCTTTCCCTACATACTAAGATTTTAACCTGTTCTACATTTTTTATTTTAAGAGTCCAGAACTTTATTGTAATACCTCCTTCCCTTCCTTTCTGAAATAGTCTTTGTCATAGTTTCCTTTCATTATGACTAGGTTAACTAGCTAAGTGCCAGAATTTCACATTTAATCCACCTGGGGATATTTCTAAAAAATAAGTATCCATTTAAAACATAGTTATCACTAATAATCAACCTTTATAGTATCCTTGGATAAATTCTATCAAATGGAGATCTTTACATGATTTCGATTTTTAAAATGTTATCAATAGCATTGTAGAGACACTTCATTTGGGTTCTGACTGAGGTTAACTAACTCCTGTCCGCATCATTGCAGGCCCTCTCTTGCCCTTCAGAGCACGCTGAAGAACTGGTAGAAAATGATAGTGAACAATCAGTCATTAATCTGTCACATGACACCACAGACAGCATGTGTGAAGTACAGCACACTGCAATCACAGAGTGGGCACTCAAGCAGTATCTGTGGAAAAATAAAAATTTGGGGTCACCCTGAGATTTCAGAACCATGAATGACCCAAAAGTTGATGAATTCAACTTTATATTTATACACATGACATGTATGCTGTTCATCCTTCAATGACTCCAGCAGCTGACTGTCATCTTTAAGAGCAAGGTCCTGAATCCCACTGAGTCTTCAGATACCTACTCTCACCCGAATGACATTGATCTCCACAGCCATCAGGAGTCCGTTCAAAATGACCATCATGCCTGTAATGCAGAATCGGAGGTCTGATACTCCCCAGCCAGACTGCCAGTACTTAACCAACTTGATGGTTTTTGTAATAAAGGCCATTACCCAATACAGGAAAAGGGCTGGAAAAAGAGAAGAAAAATCTTTCCTTGGTATTTTTTTAAAAATTTCACAGTCAATATAAATACAATGCTTTTTAACAACCAAGACATTTTTAAGTATTCTCTTCCCAGATAATTCTAAGAAAATAGATAAGTCTTGGTGTACTTTTTAAATTTTGAACTGAAGGTGTGCCAATGACTTGAAAAGGTTAGCGATTCCAATTCTGTTTGTATGATAGAGATAAGGAGACAGGTCATTACGGATAACCCACCCTCTTACGGACTGATGTGTGAGTATGCAGACTTTTAAACTGACTTTACCATCTGCAATTGCTGCTTGGGAGAAAGACACATAAGTTATGTGGTTATAACACATGACTTTAAGACCTCCAGAGCTACAGTAATCAAGATAGAAAGGAGATGGCATACAAGTATGAATAGATCAAAAGAAGAAAAGACAGCCAGGAAATAGATAAAACTAAATTAGGTATTTAATTTACTATTTTTACAAAGATCACAAAGAAAAATGTCTGTTCCACAACTGTTGCTGGAACAGATGGATATATATTTGGGGAAGTAAAGAAGCCTGGCACCAACCTCACACCAGATACACAGTCAATGGCAAGTACTCCTGAAAAACTAAACTGAAATTATAACACTTCTAGAAGAAAACAAGAGTATGATTTAAACACATTTCGAGGAAACACAAAGATTTCTTAAGACACAGAATGCAGTAACTATACATTAAAAATAAAAAATGATAAATTATAATGCATCAAAATTAAAATCTTCTGCTCCTCAAAAAGCCCTGCCAAAGAAATGAGTATGCATGGCACAGACTGGGTGGGAAAAAAGTCCCAAAAAATATATCTGATGACATATAGTCATTTATAAAATACTCCTGCAACTCAATATTAAAAAGGGGACCCAATAAAAAAATGAGCAAAAGATATGAAGAGCCAAATCACAATGACAACAAATGGCCAATAAACTCATCAAAAACTGCTCAACATCATTAGTCATCAGGGAAATGCAAATAAAAACCACAGTGCTATCAGTACACACCCTCCAGCAGGGCCAAATTAAAGAGACCAAAATCATCAAAAGCTGGCCAGCATGTGGAAGAACTGCAAATCCCACACTATTAGTGAGTATGTAGAGTAAACCACTTTGGGAAAAGATCTGGTAGTTTCTTACAGGCATTTACCTTCTTGCCCTAGGTCCCAGAAACTCCACTCCTATTCATTTGAGGGGGGAAAAAAAAAAAAAACCACATCCACAAAAAGATGTGTCTGTGAATGTTCACAGCAACTATTTTCCCATTATAGCCCAAACCTGGAAACGGTCCAGGTGGCTAGTGACCAGAGTGCAGGACAACAGTAGTATGTTTCTATAACAGAATACAGTCAAAAAAATAAAAGAACTACTGATTGATACTACATTATGGCCGAGTTTCAAAAAATTTGGTGGAGAGAAACAGGTCTGGTACAAAAGACTTATATTGCATGATTCAATTTACGTGAAGTTGTAGAACAGGTCAATCTTATCTATGGTGGAGGGGGAAATCAGACTAGATGTTGCCTCTGTGGAGACAAAAATGAGGAATGACTGGAAGGGAGCACAAGAAAATGTGTGGATGATGACATGGTTCTACAGGTACAAGTATTTAGTAAATGAAGATGGCTATACTTCACTATGTAAATTTTACCTCGCAAAAAGAATTATATACATGTCTAGTTAATGACATGCAAGCTGAAGAAATCAGGAGGTGAGGAAAAATACCCACAACTTACTTTAAAAATGCATGAAACAGGGAGATGAACAGATTAAGGTCTAGAAAGATGTAGATATGTGATAGAACAAATAAAACTATAGTTTGAAGGGTGTAGGTAGCAGGCATGTGAGTATTCACATCATTTTTTCAACTTTTTCTATATGCCTGATGATGTTCATAACATGATGGGATACAAATTTTAGGTGTGCAATCTTAAAATAGTTGAATTTTTCTAGATGCAAATTTCTCCCTCCTAAAGAAAAAGCTAGATCATGTTTTATCTCTATAAGCGCTTCAGCAGTACTATCAAAGTGTGTCCTCTGCCTTGTACCTACACAAAAAATACAATCAAATTTCAGTTGTATTTGCTTTAAAATGTATTAAAATGCACATTTCCTTTCTAAATACACTTTCTAACTCTTCTACCACCATCAGTTATTTTCAAGAAACTTATTTCTAGCATATAAAATACCTAATGCTATTTTTTCCTAGCCTGTTGGAAAGTTCACTCTTTTGGGTAGGAGGCATCTTCACAAAGATTTCTGTCACAGATTTCTTTTCTAAATTCTGTTATAAGTGCATTTGGAACTGAACAACTTTCTATCAAGATAATTAGAATTTTACAAACCTTTAAAATTAGGATTTAACCCTATTTTTTATTAGATTACCTTTGCCTAATCATGCCACACAACATAGAAATAATCAACATTTTCCACTTACCCATTTAAAATTCTAATGTCCTTGAAAAAAGCAAATAAAATACTCTGGTTTCATTATTATGTTCTCATTTCTGTATCAGTAGTCAACATCACACTCATAACAATCAATTAAAATCTGTAAGCCTTAGAAAATTCTAACGCATTCAATTCACACAGACACACATTCTAGAAGATTCCACAGGCCCTGAAATCCATTCAGGATGCATGTTGGATATGGTAATCCAAGGAATGAAAGGATGGGTCAGAGTTATTAAATATAATGAAACGGGATGACTTACACTATTTCAGCCTCAGACAAAAATAAAACTAAGAACATTTTAGAGATTCTGTGGTTTCCCCAGGACAAGAAGGCAAGAGAGGCTAAAGTGACATGGTCGGCTACGTCACTAACACGAAGGCTGTGCTCTGGAGGCAGCCGCTTCCCAGGACGTACAGTCCTCAGCCTGCGGTGAACATGCTGCGTGGAGCAGCCCTGAAGCTGCACAGCCATTGTGGGGCAAGTCTGGCATTCCCACAGCATCCATGAAAGACACAGACCTGCAAATATGACTCTGGACACCAAGCCACAGCCAGAAGCCTGTGGAATTGGGCCAGGTGGGGCAGAAGCCTGAACCAGCTCCTTGCAAAAGCGCTGATTCTTAGAAGACAGTTGCCACAGCCCAGAAAGCCAGGCCATTCTGTCCACTTTCTTCCTGTCAGAAACCAACACACCACAGGGGCCATGTATGGGGGAATAGATGTCCTGCGGCATGGACTTTTCACAGCCTAGAGAACCCCACTTACCTTCATCCCCACGTGTATCAGAGACAACCTAAGATGAATGCCTGTGATTTCCCCAGACAATCCACACCCAAACCCACTGAGAGTAGTTACTATGAGAAAAAAGAAAAACACATCATTCTTTTGGAGGGGAATAGAAAACCAGCACTTGCTTGTACTTACCTAAAAGTAATTTAGGAAAATTTGATGTTTCAATATTATGGTAATACACTATTGATGTTGTGGTGGCTACAAAGCCCATCACAGCTGGCATGAAGAGGTGGAGGTGGCGCGATTCCCGCCGTCTGCAGAGAGCAGAACAGTATCAGTGTCCACAGCTAATGGGTCCAGGCAGCTTTCCCCACTGTGTTCATTAAAGCTCTCTCTTAGCAATAAGATGTTAATAATACAGAATGCAGGAGTAGTTGCTAAGAGAATTTGTAAAGGAAAACTGTCATCGGAGAAACAACTGTGCTGAAGAGATTTATCCTAACGAGGAGGGCTGGGTACACAGACCTGAAGCAGAGGTTACAATAAAAGCAAATACATAATTAGTCCCACCAGGAAGGGGAGAACTGCAGAAATAATTCAACAACAAAAGCAAGAAAAAGCAATCAAGTGAACGGGAACTCTAAAGTATGAGAATGTATGTTTATTCTTCTGATAGCTTTCCTGAAATTTATGCTCCTCAGGCAATTTCTCTATATTCATTCATTCATTCATTCATTCATTCAATTTATACACCAAATTAGACTCTGAGATGCAACTGTGAAAAAGACAAGATACAGTGCCTGTGGTCACCAAGTTTGAAGTCTACACAGAATAGTTATAGGGAATTATAACCCAGGTAAAAGGGAGCAGAGCTAGTGTCTAAGACAGAGGAAGTTTGTGAAGGAACTGATTTCTAAACCTAAGAATGAGGAACTTCCCTAAGAATGAGGAACTGCCCTTGGGGAGGGGGGACAGGCACAGAGGCCAGATATGTTCAAGGGAATTTCAAGCTAGTTAGCATGACTTCAAGGAGACTAGATAGCATTCAAGGGCAATAGACTTCCAGTGATTGGAAATGTGCCAGGACAAGGTTTGCACATATGTGGCCCTTCATTCCACCTGTCCAAATAATACCATTTAGCAATAACATTTGACTTTTCTCAAATTACTTTAATAGATTAGTACAGAGAGACAGTGAGTTGCGCAGGGGGTGAGGGGGACAATTGGGAGTCATTTCAGACAAGATATGGTTGCTAAGGGGAACTGAGGTATTGTTAGGGGGAAATGATGTCCTGAGTTAATCCCATACAGGCTATGTGGACCCCACCCCCACTCCAGACTAAAGCCATCAAGACATTGGGAAAGACAAATCCCATCACCACCAAGGGGAAGGTGGCTGGGACCTGAGGGTGGAGTTGGGCAGCCAGGTTGGATATAAAAACCAAACACGTGGGCCTTGGGGTCGCTCACGATCGCTCGCCTCCTGGCTTCACGGCTCCTGGCTGGCGGCCAACTCTCAGAGCGCCATTTTGGGATTCCTGATCGGCGGATCGGGTAGGACTCATTTAAAACTTTGTCTCCCACTTTTCTCCCAGAGCTGTACATTTCCTCATTTCCCCTTCCCTTGTAAATAAACCTTTTATTAACCTTTCACGTGTGCCTGCAGTAGAGCATTGATAAGTCCTTTTAAGCGCGCGGGTGAGGACCCAGTCAGGCACCCCGTTTTGTATGGGGGTTGCTCTACAACAGTATAAATGAGAATCCTCCCCCCTCCCAATTAGGAAAGTGGTGGCAGAGCTCTTTAAAAAAGAGAAAACTGGAGGGGGCGGAGCAACATGGCGGCGAGGAGACGCTGCGAGTAAGATCTCCCATTAAAAAAAGTTAATAGGGAGGAAAAGCGGCAGGTCCCAGTGAGAACCGGGACACGGAAGATAAACAGGTGACGCCAGCGAACTGCCCGAAGAAGAAAGTTGCCATAAAAGAGGACTAGAAGGGAGGGAAGCGCAGAACCCTGCTCCCCTCCCCCGCCCACAGAGGCGGCACTCTCCGACCGGCAGAGAGGAGGGAAACAACAAACCAAAACGGCCAACAAGAACAAACGACGCAGCAAGCGGGACTGTGAGCGGAAAGGAACTATTGCAGCCACCACACCCCGTGAACGGGAGCTGTGGAGAACCCTCCAGGAGCCGCGGAGGTGAGCTCCGGGCGCCATTAAAGAGAGACCCCGCCCTCGGGGAGGAGACCAGCACCAGCACACAGCCCCGGGCTGCCCGGTAAGCCTGCACGGAAAAGCGGCGCGCTGGAAAAGCAGGCGCGGAGCGCGGTCAGGATTGCGCGGAAAAGCGGCACACTGGAAAACCAAGTGCGGATCGGAATCGGGATCGCGCGCGGAAAAGCAGTGCAGTTGAAAAGCAAACGCGGATCCAGATCGCAGCTGCCCAGGTCCCTGCGCCTGCGACCTAGGCTTGCGGGGAGACGCGCGGAGGCCCTCACTGAGTGAGCAGGAATCAGGCGCCCAGGCACGGGAGCGGGATTCAAAAGGCGCCATTCCCGCGCCACTGAACTGGGCTACAGCCTGAGTCCTGGAACTGAGGGCTTTGGAACTGACAACCGGGACACGAAATTAGGGGCGTGGGTTCCCCACGACGGTGGGGCACAAGGCAGACACAGCACCCCAAAGCCGTTGAGGTTTACCCTACCATTCCCGCTCTATTCCCTGTCCCACGGGGTGGAAAATCAGCTCCCCAAGGGCTCCAGGAGAGATCTCTGGTGCCACCTAGCGACTTGAAGCCAGCAGAGGCGCCTAGAGGAGCCAGTGGCCAGCTGGGGAGTTAGCCCACGCTGGGCCCCTTCCGACCAGTAGTCTGAGCCCACAGGGGGAGCGAGCACCCACAGCCGGGACAGACCAGGCGCGCAGAAGAGTGTGCCTGAGACCGGACGTGCAGGGAGTGTGTCCCACATCACCATCTTAGAACAGGGACATTTCTTCAGTAAAGACTACCTGCAGAAGGCTTCCTCAGGAGCCAGAGGTGAGCGGGGGAAGTTCGCCCACGCCAGACCCCCTCTGGCCTGCAGTCCAAGCCCAGAGGGGGAGCAGGAACCCACCGCTGGGGCAGACCAGGCGCACAGGGGAGTGTGTCCCCACATCGGCATTTTAGAACAGGGACCTTTCTCCAGTAAAGACTGCTTGAAACTGACAGATGACTCCTGGAGGAACCAGAGGAGAGCAGTGAAGCTCACCCAAGATGCCGACAAGTCCCAACTACACAGTGTCCCAACGCATACGGCAAATTAGAAAACAGACAGTAGGGAGGAGAAGAACCACACGCACCCTAGCAACTCCCCAGGGAAAAAGCACACCACAAAAAGAAAAGCAGCCCCCAGATTGCAACGACAGTAACTTGGAAGAACTTCTGAGCCTTCCAGAAAGAGAATTTAAAAATGCCGTGATTAAAAAACTGACAGAAGTCATAAAGGAAAACAATGATAAGGGAAAAATAATCAACGATCAGAAGAATGCAATTGAGTCCCTAGAGAGGCAAAACAATGGTCAGAAGAATGGAGTCCCTAAAGAGGGAAATAAAAGAAATGCAGGAGATCAAAGAATTAATGGAAGAACTAAAGAATTCTGGGAAAAGCAATGAAAGCAGAATAGATGAAATGGAAGAACGAATAAGTAATCTTGAAGACACAGAAATAAAAAGAACCAAAACAGAAAGGAAAGAGAAGTACGAAGGAAAAAGAACGAAGAAAGACTTCGGGAACTATCTGACTCCATGAGGAAAGGAAATATAAGAGTTATAGGAATACCAGAAGGAGAGGAGAGAGATGTAGGAACAGAGAAAATATTCAAAGAGATAATGGAAGAGAACTTCCCAAATGTGAAGAAGGAGCTGAAAATTGATATACAAGAAGCAAGAAGAACACCAAACTTCCACGACGAAAGGAAAAATACAGCAAGACACATAATAGTAAAGCTCCCAAGAATCCAGGACAAAGAAAAAATAATGAAGCTGGCAAGAGGGAAGAAACAGATAACATTCAAAGGAAAGCCAATCAGGCTGACATCAGACTTCTCCGAAGAAACACTACGGGCAAGGAGAGAGTGGAGGGACATAGTCAACAGACTCCAAGAAAACAGATGCCAACCAAGAATTCTCTATCCCGCAAAGCTCTCCTTCCTCTTTGAAGAAAGAATATGGACCTTCCCAGACAAACAGAAACTCCGGAATTTCATTACAACTAAACCCTCACTCCAAAAAATACTACAAGGAGTCCTAAAGTCATAACCTCAGAGGGACGAATAACAATGAAAGAAGGCCAAAAAAAAAAAAAGTTATTAAAAGAATAAATAAAATCAAAGGAAAGACAAACACAATGGCAAATACAGATGCTAACATATCAATATTAACTCTAAATGTAAATGGACTAAACTCTTCAATAAAAAGACACAGAGTTGCAGCCTGGATTAAGAAACAAAACCCAACCTTTTGCTGTCTCCAGGAAACACATTTAGCTACAAAAGATAAAAATAGGCTCAAAGTCAAAGGATGGAAAACAATCCTACAAGCAAATGGGCCAAAAAAGAAAGCAGGAACAGCTATACTTATATCAGATAAAACAGATTTCAAACTCAAAAAGATAAAAAGAGACCCCAATGGTCACTACATTATGATCAAGGGGACAATACTTCAAGAAGAAATAACACTCATTAACATATACTCACCAAACGAAGGAGCACCAAAATATATCAGACAACTGTTGTCCTCTCTGAAAACAGACATCAGAGAAAACACATACGTAGTGGGAGACTTCAACACACCACTATCAACAATGGATAGATCAACAAGACAAAAAATAAGTAAAGAAACCAAAGCTCTAAATAAGGACCTAGAGCAATTGGGCTTAACAGACATCTATAGAACACTAAACCCCCAAAAAACAGAGTACACATTTTTCTCAAGCGCACACGGATCATTCTCCAGGATCGATCACATACTGGGGCACAAGACAAACATCAACAGATACACCAAGATTGAAATCATATCAACCATCTTTTCTGACCATGAAGGCATCAAACTAGAAATAAACCATAAAAAGAAGGCAAGGAACTTTCCTACCTCATGGAGATTAAAAACCACACTACTGGAAGACCACTGGACTAATGAGGAGATCAAAGAAGAAATTAAAAAATTCTTTGAATTGAACGACAAGGAGGACACCAATATCCTAAATGTATGGGATGCAGCAAAAGCAGTAATAAGAGGAAAATATATAGCAATAGAAGCTCACATCAAGAAACAAGAAAGAACTC